AGTTTCAAGTAATTTTTAAGAATGAATTTTTTTTTTTCATATATAACTATTTGATAGACTGCCTGTCCAAATTAAACCCTCAGTCAATGTAGCAGCACTCTATTGCGAGTCAGGCTATTTGTGAATCGATATAGTAGCACTTTTTTGCGAGCCAAGCTATTTTTTCAGTTGATGTAGCAGCACTCCTTTGCGAGTCAGACTATTAGATAGTCGATATAGCAACACTTCGCACATGTTTTACAGTTAAAAATTAAAATAAAAACATTCAGAATGTTTTTAAAAACAATCTAGTCTTTTAATTTGTGCTTCAATTACTTTCTGCAATTAAATTATCATGTTTTGACATAATCTAACCTTAGTTTTGTCAGCTGTAAAATTTAAAACAAGCAAATAACTATTTTTTTACCTAACACATTTTCTTAGCAGTAAAGTATAGGTATATATATATATATATATATATATATATATATATATATATATATATATATATATATATATATATATATATATATATATATATATATATAGGCTTCAGTACATAATATAACCCGATATAGGTAGAATATGAATGAGTGTCACTTAAAATTGCTGCTCAAACTCAATATAAACAACAACAACAACAAAATATATACATATATATATATATCAGCCTTCCTTGTTTAACCAGAGCTTCCGAGCTTAAGTTTTCACTCTTGCCTGTATGTCCGCAAAAACGTTTTTTTTAATTTGCTCAATTTTTATGATAAATGGCTTTTTTAACAAGCTTTTTTATAAATCATTATCTCTAGTTAATTTAAAAATATATTATAAATCATTATATTTTAATTTAAAAAGCAGGAAAAAAATGTCGTCTAACTTAAAAATGACCATCCTATCAGCGCTTTTTTGTGCGCTGACATTAAATATATATATACAGGGGCTATTCTGGACCGTTTTTGACAGTGTCGAACATATTTGGGCGCCGCCTAAAATTAAAATTAAGTACCTTTTTTTTTAAAATGTTTTTTACTGCATATATCGTTTGTTTTTTTGCTAAAAAAAACTCAGATTTTCTGCTAAATATATATATATATATATATATATATATATATATATATATATATATATATATATATATATATATATGTTTATTATTTTATTAGAGATGTTTATTACTTAATCACTACACAATTTATGTTTACACATTAGCATTAATGTTTTTTGTTTCCATTCTTAGGCCTTTCATTGTTGTTAATAAACTTTTTATTTTGTAATTTTTTTGTTTTTAAGTTTATTATTATTATTGATAAGTACTGTTTTATTTGCATTATCTGTCATTTATTTTCAAATTTTTCTCTATTAATCTTTATTTTTGTCATGACAACTGTCAATATATATATATATATATATATATATATATATATATATATATATATATATATATATAAAATCAAGAATACAATGCTAAGAATAAAATACTATAATTATATTTTATCTTAAGTATGAGATTAACTCACCACAGGAATAACATGAGTAACACCATCACCAGAATCAATCACTGTTCCAGTTAATGTACGTTCTCCTACTTGCCTTGATGTCCATGAGGCTGCTAAAGCTAACACAGCTTGCACAGCTATGTAAAGTCCAGGTACATTAAAAGATTCAAACATAATCTCTGCAGTATATTCTCTATTTTCTGGTGTGTTTAATGGAGGCTCAGTTAGCAGAAAATAATGATCCTCTGGTTCAGCTCGAAGATATTTGAAAATGCATTGCTCCCAAAATCTTTCCTTAAAAAAATTTTATCATACATTTTTAAAAATTGAATCAAAACTAGAAATAAATAAATAAATAAATATATAAATATATATATATATATATATATATATATATATATATATATATATATATATACACATATACATATATAATTTATAAAATGAAATATACCATTAAATCCCAGTCTTCTACAATTCCATGTCGAATGGGCCACTAAATACAAAATTACATCATTAAAATAAGTTAAATTCATAACCTCTACAAAAAATTTAGTAAAAAACATTTAAAAATGATTATGAAATGTTTGGTATAATTAAAGCGAAAAGTTAAGGTAACTGACCCATAGAACAGAATAAAAACAAAGCCAAGGGAATAAATAAATAAATAAATATATATATATATATATATATATATATATATATATATATATATATATATATATATATATATATATATATATATATATGATTTAAATAAGAATCCCAAGTTTTATTTGAAGTAGAAATAATAGTGATTTTATAATTAAATTTTATAATTAAATAATTTAGAAAAAATAGAAAGGATATTTAAATAGTATTAAAAACTTTAAGAACTTGTACAAATATGTACTTTAAAAATAGTTTAGCATTTCTAAACTATTAATGGTTCAGGAAGATGTGCGTTAATTTTAAAATTAGACACAGAGCCGGAATTAAGTGACTGCAAAATGTGATATCTGGAAATACTTCCGGTCTTTAAATTTTTAGCCTTTTTAAAAACTTTAAAACTGTTTTGACCACTAAACTCAATAGCTGTTATTCAATAAAAAATGTTTATGTTGATCTTGAATTATGATAAAAAATTTTGATGTAAAACCATATTATCACTATTATTTTTATTATCATTAAAGATGATTTAAACTTTAATATTTTAATTCATTTTGTAAAATATCAGATAAAACTAGAAAAATAAAGCATGATAAAGTTCAATATAACTATTAAAAAACAAAAGGCAATCACAACAGTCTAAAGAAATTTAGCGATGATTGAATATTAAAATAAAAAAAATCATTAGATAAGATAAAAAATATGTTTATATTATTCAAATCTTATTCAATATTTCTAAATGCTCGCCACTCTTTCGCAGATATGTATAAAAAATTAAAAGATAGAGAAGTTTAAAAATATATAAAAACTAATATAAACTATTTATAATTATTTTAAAACAAAACAAAAAAACTATAATAACTTATTTTTAAATCAATCAAATAATTAAAAAAAAAAAAATTCTATTAAAAAAATTAAAATTTTTAAATAAACAATTCCCTAAACAAAAATTGATATTAATATTTCATACAATGCACAAATAGCTTTAGGTTTTTATTGGTTGATTTTTAAATTGCTGTGCTAATTTTTCAGAGCTTCAGTAATTATAGGTTTTTTTTTAATTATTTAATTTTAGTTAATATTTTTAATTATTGTTTAAAAAAACAATAATTAAAAATTTTGACTTTTATCATTATTGCAGTAGAAAATTTATTGTTTTGTTTTTTCATTAACTTTTACAATATGAATAATTGACCATTTTATAAAAACTGTGTTCACAGTTTTTAATGAAATAAGGATTTTATGATCAGAAATATTTCCTGACATTTTTTATTGGTTCAGGGTTTGACTGGGGTCAATAAAAAAAAGGCCCCAGAAAAACTAATGTTAATTTTCAAATCAATCACAAATCACAAATTTTGATAACTTAATTCCAGCCCTGAGCCAATAAAATTTTTTTTATTGGTTAATTAAAAAATTAACACCCATTTTTCTAAAGCCCTTATTTTTAATATTATTTAAACATTTGTTCTATTATTTCTTCCAACATTTCTACTTCAATTAAAATGTTAAGATTACTCATCTAAATCTTTTTTTATTTATATTACTCTTAACTATGTGTTGTTTGAACAAACAATAAAATATAAAAGCTATAAGTGCATTATAAAATTAATAACAATTAATTAATGTTATAAGTTTATAACACAATTAGTGATTATAGTGTTATTACTTTTGTGGTTTTGCATTAACTAAAGTTTAAAAGACTAGATATTTTTTCAGAAATCACAATTCATGATAAAAAATTAAGCAGAAGAAATCAGGGAATAGTGAAAATACTTCTTTGGACGTTGTGGGTGTGGATAAGCATTTTATTTTTAATTTATTAGACTTTTGAATTTAATAATATTGGTCATCACATTGCTCATTAGAAAAACTTTATTACTGCTTAAAAAAACAAACAAAAAACAAAAACAAAAAAAAACTGGATTATTATGTAAGTCCACTTTATAAGCCTACATTTAAGTCTCAGCTAACACGAATTAAAAGTATTTAATTGTAAATACAATTTACTTTACTAAAGAAAAAAGCGAAAAGAAACTGTGAAACAAATAGTAACAAATATGCATAAGGAAAGTCTATACAATAGATTTTATAAGATTTCCCTACCAATCTTTTGGTTTACTTTTTTACTTTTTAAAATAATGCTACTAAAACTTTATGAAGAATCTTCGAAAATAAAAAATAAAACTTTCTTTTTTAAACTTTTGCAAATGCAAAAGTTTAAAGGAGAAAGGCTCTTTACCATACATCCAGAAAAATTGGCTAAACATACATACAGAAACCATACATCCTTTACCATACATCCAGAAACATTGGCTAAATATCCAGAAAAATTGGCTAAACACCATAACACCAGAGTGTTATCTTTTAATTAGGATTATTTCAATGTCTGTAAAGATTCAACTTTCTATGTGATCTGGATTTGATTCATAGTAAAAGACTAACTATATCATACTGTATGGCTACCATAGGATTGGGTTAGGTTACAAAAATGCAAAAAAAAAAAAGTTTGACAATTACTGATGAGAACAAAAACTGATGAGAACAGCCTCAATAGATTCAGAAAAAAGGTTATTTATTTCAGTTATTGTCTGAATCAGTTTTACAGCTAAAAAACTTATTTTAAAATCTAATTTATCTGAATAATAGCTTTTAGTACCAATTAAAATTAAGCTAGTAAATCCATATACTTGTGAACCTGGATTTGATTTTCTTTCTCTGCACCAATATTTAAACTATTTGATTTTCTTTCTCTGCACCAACATTTAAACTACATTCTATTAATTGCAATTAAAAAAAACTATTAAAAAAAAAAAAAAGTGTTGTTATACCTTAGTAGCATAAGTTGGTCTATCAATAGCAGCATCACCAATAAAGAAATCTTTAAAAAAAAAATTATAAATAAGAACGATTGTTAAAATCCGTAACAAATCTTAACTGCTATTAAAGTCAATAGCAAACAATTTGTATTAATTTAGTAAACATAATAAAAATGTATTACGCAATCATTTCTCCTTACCTAAATCATCAACACCTTTAAAAGAAGTTGATTTGCCCCCAACATTTGCACTTTCTTTGACAGCAATTGCTAAAAATATTTGAAATTTTGTAATGGTAAATGATATTATTGAAACTAAAATATAAACTCAATCAAAACAGGCTGAAGCCAATATATAATATATATTGCACAATTTGTAAATTAAACTAAGGCCAGCAACAGAAAAAAAAAATCCAATCTGTCTTTAATATTTGTAAATGTCAAACAATCTCAACAATCAAATTCTCATCAGAGGAATCACTGAATTATCTATTAAATTAGCCATTCACATAACAAATAATTGCAGCTTTTGATGACGAAGGTAGCTTAGGAGTTGTAGTTGAATGTTGAATTTGGAGGTATTTAATTATCTAATTATTAAATTATTTAAGTTGCCAGCTAGCAACATCCTCTTTAAAATCGCATCATTATTATCATGGAGGGAATCAAATAAGTACTTTAAAATTGCATCAGCAGTAACTGAATTTGCATCACATTTACTAAATGCCTCTACAACAATTTTGATAGTAGCAATGTAGCAGTAAACTAAGTTTGATTCTGTGCGCCACCTTTACATAGTCAACTTCTTTTTAGCCAAAGTTTAAAAAACTCAACTATTTTCTATTCATTTGTAAAGATGCATTTATATTATCTGTTTCACACATTTTAGGTTTGAAATTGTTTTGATTATCACTATTAGTTTCAGCTTCACTAGAGTTGTCACTGAAAAAAATAGAATCATTTTCTAAAGAATTAATGTGACAAACATTAGGATTTCATTTCTTTAATAAATAACGTCCATTACAATCAAGTATATGCTGTGGTTATAACATAATTGGTGTATAAAACCAGTCAATCTTTTAAATTTGATCATTACTGCAGTAGCGCCAGAGAACCCTCTCTCTCTTGATATAAATACATATATATATATATATATATATATATATATATATATATATATATATATATATATATATATATATATATATATATATATATACACACACATATAAAGGCCTAGCCTGATCCCTGCTAAAAGGGAGACTTTTTGTAAACCCAGCCTCTGCAAAATTATATAGCAAGGGTTGATAGCCAGGGCTAGAAAAAAATTTATAATAGTTTATATATTATAATTTTATACATACATTTACTATTTGTGAAATACTTGCATATATTTATAAATTTTTAAACTCTTATTTATTTCCAACAAGGTTGTAAACAACCACTGTTAAGTTATGAGTTACTACAAAATAGAGGATAAGGTTCAAAAGCTAGGAGAAGGTTAACTGAAGACTTGAAAAGTTGCATTTAACCAAATTTTTGTTAAATGCAACTTTTTTTAAATAAATTTTTTTAGAAATTTTGTAAAAAAAATTTCTAAACACGTTGTGTTTTGAATGGAATAGTTTACTTATCATTAAAAACAAAATAATCACTATGCACATTGCGTTTTGGCAGTTGAAGTAAAACATCTAAAAAAACTTGTTTTCTAAATATTAACCTACGTCATTTGGTAAATAAGAGCATTAGAAATGTTTTGGGACAAAATTTAACTAAATTTAAAAAGCTTTGTTATTAACATAATAACTTATATAAATAATAACTTATAAATATATATAATTAATACATATAAAATGATTTATATAAGTTTATGAAAATGTTTGCTAAAAAAGTTATAAAAGTTCTATTAGCATTGGCAATGAAAAAACATTAAATATATTTTAACAAAAAGAAATCATTATTTCATTGGTTTTATAATTTAATGATGCGAAAACATTTATATTTTGATTAAAGAATTTGATTAAAGAATTTATATTTTGTTTAAAGGAATGAAACAATGGAAAAAATGAAAGCTTAAGAACTTCTTTTAAATAAACTCGATGTAATAATAAAAAAAAAATTACTGTAGTAGTAAGTTAAAGATAAAGACAATAACAAAGAAAATACATAAAATATAAATTTATTCTTTAAAACAAGATCATTAAAAACTAGGTAAAAAACACAATTAGATTCGATCAAATAATAAATAATTTGAGGAGGTCGAAAGAATTTTTAACCTTTTGTCAAGCAGTGCGCTGCTAATTAATAATTTTGAAATATTTATTATCTGAAGAATGCTGTATAACAAATTAAAAATATATAAAATTGTGTGGAACACCCATATCCAAAAATATAAGATTACTCCTGATAACTTAATGACGAGTTCGCATAATCATGCTTGCTAAACATATAGTTGAGTTTTATGGGCACAAAACATCGTGATGGACAATTTTCTTCATGCCAAGGCCTGTTTTTATATATATATATATATATATATATATATATATATATATATATATATATATATATATATATATATATATATATATATATATATATATATATATATATATATATATATATATATATATATATATATATATCAGATATATATGTATATATATATATATATATATATATATCAGATATATATATATATATATATATATATATATATATATATCAGATATATATGTATATATATATATATATATATATATATATATATCAGACATATATGTATATATATCAGATATATATGTATATATATATATATATATATATACATCAGATATATATATGTATATATGTATATATGTATATATATATATATATATATATATATATATATATATATATATATATATATATAATATATATATATATATATATATATATATATATATACATCAGATATATATATGTATATATGTATATATATATATATATATATATATATATATATATATATATATATATATATATATATATATATATATATATATATATATATATATATATCAGGCTTAGACAGGAATGGCGTGCGATTGAGCGCTATTACTGACCAAGGCTAATGATTTTATTTTCTGACAACTTGACTGAGATTGTTTATATGTTTTGATGATTTGAACATTTTAGAAGTGCGCTGAATGTATAAGTGATAAGCTAAACTTAAACTAGGAATAAAGTAAAAAAAAAAATAATAAAAACGAAAAAAAATTCCTAACGAAAAAAGAAATTATATAAGCACTAAAATAAAAATAAAAACTTAAACTTGAAGCAAAATTCTTTGTTACATTATTAATTACGTTCGAAAAAAATGTTATCAAAACTTATCTATTTAAACATTAAAGTTATACAAAACGCTTTTAAATTAAGTAACGAATTACTACTAATGATTGTTTAATAAATAAAAAATTTTTATTACATTTGTTAATATAAAATATTGTTTGTTTATATAAAACATTGTTTGTTACATTTGTTTATATAAAATAGTGTTTATATAAAATATTTTTAAATTGTATAAACATTTTTTCAAAACAGTTGCAAGCAAAAAAAAAAAATATATATATATATAACATAGACTTTTTGAAATCGTAATTTTTAATAACTTTATGCTCATATCAGTAAGTCTAGCTAAAAAAAATTTTTTTTGTAACTTTTTTATTCGTAAAAGTAGGAAAAATTAAACAATTGTATGCCAGCGATATAAATAAAATAAATTGCCAACAAGTAAGAAAACTAATTGCTATTTATTTCTAAAATATTTTTGTTTTTATTTTTTAACAAGTTTTTTATGAGTAATAATAAAAACAATAATATAAGTCATTAATACTAATGTTCTAATATAAGATATTTAGTTGTTTTCACTACACCCATCGAAATAGTCTGCACTTTCATTGGATTCTTCAAATTGTGCATTTAAATGCTTGTGGGCTAGTTTATTGTTTATTTATAAGTTTTTATATACATTTTTTTAAACAGAGCAAGCGTTATAATCATTATCTCTAGTAATTTGTCTTAATGTTGAAAATTATGAAATGTAAAGCAAACAATTTAAAACAAGCATCAAGTATTGTAAATACGATTAAAAAAAAAACCATTGTATTTTTTTACTTAACTTCATCTGTCCAGGGGTGTGGAATCATAAAAAAAAAGTAATCTGACTCCAGATGTTGAAATTTTTTGAGCACAACTCCGACTCTGACTCCAACTCTGACTCCGTTTCTTAAGCAAAATTTTTGAAAAATTCTTTGAATTCTTTAAAAAATATTATACCATAAGTTAAAAATTTCTTTTTTGATAAATTTATGAAATGTTCTTCGAGGTTTAGTATGAACATAAGGTTAATTGATTGTTTTGTATATGCACGTGCAATACCAAGAAGTTTTACTATTGGAGTCAGAGTCGCAATTTTGTTTAGCGACTCTGACTCCGCTGAAAATGTCACAACCCCGCAATTCTAACTCCACAGTCCTGCTTTACAAAATTTATTAGTCAAATAATATATTTTACAAATAAATACCAATTTATTTACTGATTTTCCTATTATATAAGTATTGAGAAAAAACAGCAAATATAACAAAAACATTTTTAAAAGCTAAAAGACCTGAAAACAAATAAACATTAAAAAAAAATTTACAAAGTTTCTCTAGTACACATAGTTAACTATTTTCTAAAAATCTTGAATAAGTTGCATATCAAAACTTTTAATTGTTGTTATAAAATTGTAAAATTGTTGTTATAAAGTATATGCTTTTTTCCTTGACTTTTATTAAATTCAGTAGCTAAAAATAACAACCACCCTAAAAAAAAAAGAATACTAAAAATTGAAAAAAAATTTTATAAAATTTTTTTTTCTTTTTAAATCTTCTTTTTTTAATTCTTAAATTTTTTTTATTTCTTAAATTAAAATTTGATATTTCGTTATAATTTTGTTTCCATGTTTTAGTTTTGGTTTTTTTTTCAGTAGATAAGTTTAGCTTATAGTATTACTGAAATGCTTTAAAAGTTAAAAAATGCAAACTGCCACAATCAGTCTGTTTAAAAAAAATACTTTAAACGTGAACAAATGTGTGTGACTGCATGCCCTTCCTGGGAAGGCTTGCAAATGTAATGTCCTTTAAGGGACTACCAAGTTCCGAGACATGTTGTGTTCATATTAAAGATAATGTTAAGAAAAAACGTCTGAGGAAATTTTTTTTGATTAAAACTAATTAATAAATGTATACCAAGAAAAACAAATCTTGTTGTCTTAGTCGAAGCTTGTCTTCTCCATTTTCTGCGGTATTTGGAGTCTTAAAATAAACGCGATTTTCCAGGTGCATTATGCAGACATGATAATTTATTCAAGTGCATTAAATTCATAAAAGATTTAGTACATGATGTCACAGCTTCTTTTGTTTGTTTGTTTTACATGCAATTTCCAAATCATATTCATTTTTATTATATTTTAAAAACCTAAAATGTGTTTGTAAAAAAATTAAAAACAAAATAGTATTTTATTTGCGCTAAATTTTTTAAATAATCGTTTAGACCACATGTATTTTGATTTATTTTGTTATAAGCTTTTCTTTCAAAATATTCAATAAAATAATTTTTAACCTAAATAATAATTCACTTTCATTAATTTAATATTTAAAAAAATTATTAACACATTTTTCTCTGATTTTCAAAAATGTATTTTTTGGTATTGAGGTGATCTTATTTCATTATTTATATTTCCATTATTATAAAATCAAATATATATTATGGCAGGGGCTAATAAATTAAAAAATAAATATATATTAATTTTTATTTTACGGACATACATGGAAACATAATTAACTTGAATGTTCTTAAAACATCATGCAAAAGAATAAAAAGAATATTCGCAAACACTAAAAACCAGCCAAGTTTACAAACAAATTCTATTGGTTCAAAAAATACGCTGACTAAGCTAATTAAAGTTCTAGAGTATTCTGTTGAAATGTTTTAGGAATTGTATTATTTACGATTTGTTGCGTTTTGAGATATCAAGCATAAACTTTTTTAAGAACATATTATCAAATGAACTATTACTTTAATATTATGGCTCATTCTCAGAGCCACATCTGCAAAGCCGTAAATCTTTTAAACTATTATCATTTGTTTAAAAAAAAAAAATGTTTTATAATATATATTTTTTAAATTGTCAAAAATTTGAAAGTTAATTACAAATTATATATTTCATTAGTATATTTTTATTTTTTATATCTTTTCTAAATGCTTGGTTTAATTAATTGTTCGTTAGATTTGTCGAAACAACTTGCATCAAAATGTAAAGAACACACTCGTGAATCATCAGAGATATTATATAACTCAATTTGATGCCATAGGAATCCCTAGGTCCACCATCACCGTGGCCCATGTAGCCACGGCTCTGATAGCTACAAAAAAACAAAGTTTTTTTCAATGTAAAGATTTTAGAAAATAAAATAACTAACTATAGTTAGTTATTTTATTAAAATTTAATAGTAAAATTTTTAAAGAATTTCAAGAATGTTTTCAATGACGCCATGTACTAAAACTTCTATGAATTAAATGCACTTGAATAAATTATCAAGTCTGTATAATGCGCCTGGAAAATTGCGTTTATTTTACAGACTCTAAATACCGCAGAAAATGGAGAAGACAAGCTTAGACTAAAACAACAAGATTTGTTTTTCTTGGTATACATTTATTAATTAGTTTTAATAAAAAAATTTTTTAACATTCTCTTTAATATGAACACAACAGGTCTCGAGTTGGTAGTCCCTTTAAACATAAAATATCTATACACAAAATCTAAATTTTAAAAAAGGATTTTTTTTGTTCTTAAAGCTATAAATAATCATGTCACTAAAACATTAAAAATAATACTCAAGGGTATGTACGTGAGTCTAACTCATATTAAACTGGAAAAGAAAGATCAAGCGTAAAAAGAACCAAAGTGCTGCTAACATAGAGAACAGCCTCCAGAATTAGGAAAAATAAGGTTGGTAATATTGTGCTGACCATAATCTGTTAGAGGTCAGCAAAAAAAAATTTGATAAAAAGATTTTATCATAAAATTAGAAATAAGGTCATTTGTAATTTACCAACCTAAAACATTTCTAGGTCAAAATCCTTAAAGACTGACCCTAACTCCAAGCGCTGTAGAGAGTGAAATCAAAACTAATGCCTTGAATCTAATCAATAAACAGACTTATTTATAACACCATAAAACTTTGATTTTGCTTGTAATAGTAGATTAGTTTTTTAATTCAAAAGAGAAAGGTATGTTGAGCATTAAAAATGATGATTAAATTATTCTTGAACCTACATGGAAGCTATTAGCATATATTAGCATATATTAGGATTCCCCCATTTAAAAATATTAAAAAAAAAAAATCTTATCTATCATCTATTTTAACTGCCAGGTTTATTGTAACTGAAAGTAATTTTTAAATATGAAAAATTCCATACCTGATGGAACAATAAACTGTGGCTCAGTATTTCCAGCAAAACCCATCTTAGTATATCTAAATAAAAAACAATATAAAAATCAGTTCTTGGTTTTCTTTTTTTTTAATAAATTGATTTTAAAAATATTAACTAAAGAATAATAAAGCGTGTAAACCAAATGTGATAGTAGAAAAAAAACAATTTTTAATTCCAACCAAGTAATAACTTTAATACAATAATATAAGAAGATCAAATAAAAAAAAAATAAAAAATCAAATTATTCCTGTTGGAATCTAATAAAATTTCGAACTTTTGCATTGGTGGTACCCATAAGCTTGTGTACAGAATAAGAATTGAAGCCATTTAACGCTTTTTTGAATGGTATTTTAATATCTTAAATGTTTCTGCAAAGTTTTATTGTTTTTTTCATTTTTCTTTTAATAATGGCCCAGTACTTTTTAATAACTCTTAATTCTGGGCAGTTTGGAGGATTTTCTGTTTTAGGCACATATTTCACATTATTATTTTTATACCATTCCAAATGTTGAATGTATGCATGTATAAAACAAACTGTTTATGTTAAATTAATAAATGTTTTCATATTTTAAGATTACAAGTTTTTTGTAAAAGCAAAAAGCTAAACATTTCAGGAATTTCAGACCTAAACTTTTGAATGGGTTTGATAATAAAGAATAATTTGCAATTTAAATATAATATTTTTATTTTTTGTAGTTAATTACATCTGTAAAATATGAATTATGAATGAATGAAAATACGAATACATCTGTAAAATATTATCTTAAATATTGCAAAATATTTTGTACTTTTATAATCATTTTGATATACTCGATCAAAGTTATTTTTTAATAATGTGAGCAATAAAAACTTATTTCATCATAAATATATCTTTAGTTGCTTCTTTAAGTAGAGTAGCTAGCTCATCAATAAATTTATCTTGTTTAATTTTATTTTTTAAAGGATGTAATTTTTTATAGACAATAATTACATTTATTTTATTTGTTGCCAATTTTTTTTATAAACTAATCTGAATCTTTAAATTTTATTTAACTTTTTAATTTAAAAAATATTTGTTAATAGATATTTAATATTTATTTGAATGTCATTTGGTCACAGTCATTTAATTTGCTTTAAAGGAATGTATATTGAATGTTTTGTATTTGGACATTTATTAGGAAATTTATTATAGTTAATCTGATGGAAATTTATTATGGTTAATATGATGACTTAATCTTTAAATGTTAAATCAGTTTTAGAAGATATAAACGGCAGTAAGTGACCAGGGTCCCAGCCCCGACTAAAAATGAGACTTATAACGAATCTGGCCTTGGTCCGGCAATTAAAGCAGGTCTAACTACATTTACAATGTATTTTTGGAACTTGTCTGTGAGTTAGAGGGTTGTTATTCGTCAATATAGAAATGCTAACAAAATTGTGATAGTTGTTAGCAGTAAATAAGTAAGTTTTATTGGAGTTAAAATCCTCAAGTTGTTACAGAAGAGAGATCAGATTAAAGATTGGATGCTTGTTCTAAGCGATCAAAAAGACTTAAGTCAAAATGTCAAGACAAGAATATAAATTTGAGTTGAGAACAAATACAACCACTGTAGATGTAATATTCTCAGAAAGATTTTTATTGTTGATAAGAAACAATACAGTAGCAAAGATAGAATCTTGGAGTTTTCCTAAAGTTACTGAAAATGAAAAAGAGTGTAGGCCTTTGAGAATGACTTTAATAATGCAGTTAGAAAGAAATGATTTAAAGTGATCCCTAAGTGCCAAGACAAGCTGTGCTCATGTCATAAATAATCCTTAAAAAGTTTCATGTTAACTAAACTTTCAGAAACAAATTATTTATCAAGATATTAGCGAAAAAAATTAAAACTTTAATGCCAATTTTTTCCTTCTCACTTTTATGTAGAAGAATGCCTTTATATAACTTTTTATAAAACGTATAATAACAGAATAAGATTTTTTAAATGCATTCAGTGAGAATACATTTGATTTAGGGTAAATGAAAATAAAACATTTATATTAAAATAAAAACAAAGTTGAAATGCGTTTATCTTTGTTTAGTCTCCAGTAGAACTAAAATGTTTAATGTAGCGCTAATGTAGAGTTATTTTATAAAAGGGGAAACCCAATCTAATTGTGAAACTGTGTAAATGATTTAAAAAAACTTTGCATTAAGTACATTTGTTATTCAAACCAGATTTTTTTACAACGGAAAAAACTATACAGATTCTTGTAGTTAATATCTCTAAATCTCTCAAGCAGAAGTATAATTGCAAAACAACAAACACTTTTTGTTAATACCTCAATAAATAAATTGTTTTAGTAATTTTGGACTCAAAATTTATTTTCTAATGTTTACTTACAAAATAAACATAACTTGTCTCAGCACTTGAGAATCTTAAAACTTTTATATGAAGAAACTAATACTAAAGAGAAAACTAATTGCAGGATACTTAGAGAGGTCAGGGTGTTTACTAACGCTTTTAAATATTGGAACCACTTATTTAACTTACAATAATTTAGCAATATAAAAATATGTTTGCTATTTTTTTAAATGCTGACATACAAAGTCTTAACATATTTGTATAAACTTTAGTAACTATATTGTATAGTATTCGCAAAAAAAGACAACAACAACAACAAGCTATTTATTTTCCATTTTAAAATCATTTTTACAATAATAAGGTATATAATAATAACAATAAATATAAAACAATAAGCAATAGTAATAATTTATAACAATAATATTAATAATAACAAAAAAAAATTATAAATAATAATAATGACTATAATAAGTAAAAAGATATGTTATTTCTTATTATAATAAGTTAATGATTAGTATGAATGGTGTCACTCATACAGAAGTCTGATCAAAGGAGTGACACCATTTTTCAAAATAATATGACTAATAATAAACATATAGACATAAATTATAAAACATAGACACACATAAAGTAAACTTTTTTAAAATCATATATGTAGCAGGCCTTCTCGTAAGAAGCATGCGATGGGACGCTTTATATGACCACGCATATAGTTCTTTGTTTAAACAACTTGACCACGGCTCTTTGCAAGTTTTGATAATTAGCACATTAAAAAAATGCGCTAAAAAAAACAAACCAAATGTAAATGCGATTTTTAATTAATTCCATAAGTACAATTAAACTGCCACGGGTACTTTAATGAAACTTAGTAAAAGCAATCATTGAATAAAAATTCAGATTAGAGTTCAAGGGAAAATGAGTACAGAAGCTATTAAAAAATAATTACAAACCAATTTATCATGGAAAAATAATTTCTAATAAAGAAACTATCGACTACAAAAAAAGAAAAACTATTTACTATAAAAAAATAATCTTGAAACAGCCGTATTTGCCAACTATTTTTTATCCCAGGGCGTGACTTACCATTTTTTTTTAATGAACGTTGACTTTCGTATCTTTATTTATTGATGAACGTCTAATTTAAGAGACTTATGCCAAACAAATTTCAAATAATTTTTATTTTAGTTAATAAGTTATAAAATATATCAAAGATGCTTGGTAAATTAATTCAACATTTGCAAAGTGCAGGCCTTGTTTTAAAGCGTTACGCCTAGAGCGATTTACGTACGCCTTAATTGATTTTTACGTACGTGTAGAGCTGTTTTGGTTAAGCTACTTTTTATCATTTTTTAACTTTTAAATTAGCGGTAACATAAAAGAAGTAATTAATTAAAAAAAAAAACCCACATTAACTTTTAAATAACGATAACAAAAGAGAATTTACTTTCAAAATAATTGTTGTAACTTTTCATCGCGATATATCTTACCTTTTTATAGCAATTATTAGTAATTTTATATTTTATAACAATTAGTAGTAAAGGCTAGAGATAGTGTCTCGATAAAAATACTCATCTTGGGCAGATGTTACATGCATCCGACTGCTGTCTTGTAGAAGGCCTCCTAGGCAAAGACTTAAGGGGTAAACAGATTCTATCTGTTGACCAGCCTCGCACCCCTTCTTCATCTATTAGGCTGGCGCAGATGGATCTTTAATACATTGTTTCCAGTTTAGGATGTTGATGTATTTTTAATACATTGTTACGCAGATGTATTTTTAATACATTGTTTCCAGTTTAGGATAAACGCTAGATCTTCTTGACTCAATTCATGGGTTTTGCTTGTGTCTCTGTTTTTATGACTAGGCAACTTATTCTAATATCTCCAAATGAGGGTACAGCTCTAAAACTCAGTTTTATGGTTCTGAGGCCGGCTGGTAGTCAGGTTTCCTGAACTCTGTGGTAGCTCTCAGAGAGGCTGATTCTATCAACAGCTGAAAAATATCAGAGTACTAACAGTGCCATGTTGCGCATGGATGGTGTCCCTGTTTGTACTTTTGGTGTGCATTGCCAAGGCCACATTGGAGCCCTTTGTTACGGCTTAGGGTTTATTAGTGGAAATGAGGCAATTGCTTGAGCTATAAAACAGTGTACTGAGTACTATCTACGTTTCGAGTCAAGTTCTTTAACAAATTTAAAAATGAATAAAGTAATAAAAACTATAAACACAAAAAACCACAGTCATCACCAAGTTCGCTAAACCTATCAATCACCAATATTCGTGGTCTTCGAAGTAACTTTTCTTCTGTTGAGTCTTATCTCTTGCAAAGTTCACCAGACCTACTTGCTCTTTGTGAGACTCATTTGAGTTCAGCTGTCTTATCTTGTGATCTCAGTGTTGATGGTTATCTTCCTTTAATTCGTAAAGACTCCAATAGTCACATGCTTGGCCTGGGCATATACATTCGTAAGAATTCACCCATTTGTCGGGAAACTAGGTTTGAATCCACAGACTACTCTTTTATGTGCTTTCGTTTAGCACCACTTCACTCTATCACCTTTCTCTTTGTTCTATATCGCTCTCCCTCATCTCAAGACTGCACTCTTCTTGATGTTATTTCTTATTATATTGACCAAGCCCTCATTTTTTATCCATCAGCCAATATTGTTGTTGTTGGTGACTTTAATGTTCATCACACTGAATGGCTTGGCTCTAGTGTCAGT